ACGGGCGATGGATACCGGGACACCGGGGGGTGACGGGCGATGGATACCGGGACACCGGGAGGCGACGGGCGATGGATAGCAGGACACCGGGAGGCNGACGGGCGATGGATACCGGGACACCGGGAGGCGACGGGCGATGGATAGCAGGACACCGGGAGGCCACGGGCGATGGATACCGGGACACCGGGGGGACCCCAAAGGAAAGCGAGGGGGGTGGGGTGAGATGGGCGCGCCGCACGTGACCCCCCACCCGGGACACGTGGCCGCGTCACGCGCGCGCCCCGCCCGGCGCGTGCGCAGCCGCCCCCTGCGGCGGGGCGGGGCGGGGCTCCGCGATGACGTCACGGCGGCGCGGGGCCAATCGGCGGCGCGGAGGGGCGGGGCCTGGCGCCGGTGCCGCGGGTCCCGCGCGCTCCCGGCCCGGTCCGGCCATGGCCCAGCGCGCCGGCCCCGCCGCGCTCCCGGACAACCCCTTCCAGGACCCCGCCGCGCTGCAGCCCCGGCCCGCCGCCGTGCTGGACGGCTACAACCCCTTCGAGAGCGACGCGGTGAGCGCCGCGGCCTGCCCGGACGCCGCGGCCTGCCCGTGCACCGGATCTCCTTCCCGGGGGAAGCGGAGCGCTCCCCGCTGCCGGCGCGGTCTCACCTCTCTCCTCTTCCCCTGCAGCCACCGCCGCCGTTCCAGACCCCTTCGGTAGCGCCGCCGCCCCCGGTACCGGCGGCCGCGCAGCCCCCGCGGAAGGCGAGTCCCACCGAGCCCCGCAACTATGGCTCCTACGGTTCGCAGGTACGGGCGGAGGCGCCGGCGGGCCGGGGGGGCTCGGGCGCCGGCGGGAGCCCAGGGTTTGTGTCCCCCCTCTCCGCAGGCTTCGGCCGCCGCCGCCACGGCGGAGCTGCTGAAGCGGCAGGAGGAGCTGAACCGGAAAGCGGAGGAGCTGGACCGGCGGGAGCGGGAGCTGCAGAACGCGGCCCTCGGCGGTTCCCAGAGTGAGTGGCTGCGGGGCTGGGCAGGGAGGGGAACCCGCTTGGACCCCTCCTCGCTCCTCCTCACCCCTTCCCGTCCGCAGCGAGGCTCAACAACTGGCCCCCGCTGCCGTCCTTCTGCCCGGTGAAGCCCTGCTTCTACCAGGACATCCCCGTGGAGATCCCGGCCGACTTCCAGAAGACAGTTACAACCATGTACTACCTCTGGATGGGTGAGGCTGCAGGCGAGCCTGGGGCAGGTGGAAGGATGAACGTCCTGTGCTGCTGCTCTGGGGGAATTGGGATGAGCAGGTGGTGGTAAAGGTGGGATTGGCTCCTGAGAGCTGTCCTCTCCCTCAGCCAGCACCATCACTCTCTTCCTGAACTTCCTGTCCTCGCTGGCCTGGTTCTGCGTGGACCCCAGCTCCGGGTCTGGGTTTGGCCTCTCCATCCTCTGGGCTCTGCTCTACACGCCCTGCTCCTTCGTCTGCTGGTATCGGCCCATGTACAAAGCTTTCAGGTGTGTCCCTGAGCCCTGTGCACCTGCTCGGGCTCCTCTTTGTTCCACCCTGAGCTCCCCGTCCTCCTGCTTCAAGGAAAGTTTGAGAGCTTCCTCCTGTGGCCTAACCGTGCCCGTTTCTTCCTGCCAGGAGCGACAGTTCCTTCAACTTCTTTGTCTTCTTCTTCGTCTTCTTTGCCCAGAACGTGATGTACGTGCTGCAGGCCATCGGCATCCCAAACTGGGGATTCAGGTGCGCCGTGTGCTGACCCTGGCAAGGCGAGAGGCGGGTGGGGAAGAGGGAACCTGGGGCCAACAACAGCCTCTTGTTTTGCAGTGGCTGGATCCTGAGCCTGATAGCCCTGCGGACTAACACGGCCGTGGCTGTGATGATGATCCTGGTGTCCTTGTCCTTCACGGCGGTGGCCGTGCTGGGGATCATCATGCTGAAAAAGGTGGGTTCGCATCACAACCTGTCCCTTTGCTGGGGAGCTTTGGGCCCTCACAACTCTGTTTGCCAGGGCCCTGACCCCCAGGCTGCTCCTGCCCTCCAGATCCACTCCCTGTACCGCCGCACGGGTGCCAGCTTCCAGAAGGCCCAGGAGGAGTTTGCAGCCGGGGTCTTCTCCAACCAGGCCGTGCGCACGGCCGCGGCCAACGCCGCCGCGGGCGCGGCCACCAACGCCTTCCGCGCCCCGTAGCCCCGCGGGTGCCCGGCCCTGCCCCTTCCCCGGCGCACGGGAGCTCTTCCCGAGGAAGAGGAAACCCGAGTCGCGCTCTCACTGGATCCCCGTGCGTCCGCATCAGCTGTCAGAGGCTGCCTCATCCCAGCTTGGAAGCGCTGGTGCCTGAATCGTCTGCTGCTCTTAACCCCCTTTCCTCACGGACAGAGGCTGTTCTGGTTTGTGCTGGTCCCCTCCCCTCAGCAGACTGGGGGGAGCAGGGTGGGGAGCGCTGAGGACGAGCCCTGAGCCATCGCCCGCCCTTCCAGCACCAGCTGCTGAGGGCAGGAGCCTCCTCCAGATGGCTGGAATGCTGCTTCCAGGGACTGGAACTTGCCTTCCTTGTGCTCTCCTGTTTCCCCACCTGGTGATGACGCTTGCGTGCCCCAGGGTGTGGAGGGTCCCCTGCCCCCCGTGTGCCCAGGGACCCCCATGCTCTGCCAAGAACGTCATCGCCCTCTTCCTCCTGGGGCTTGCTCCAGTGGGATGAGGATGGGGCTGGTGCTTTCCCCAGGGTGTCTTGCCCTTTTGTCCTGTCCCTTTCCCCATCCTCTCCCTCTCTTCAGGCCCAGGGATGAGGAGAGCAGGGCAGGGACGGGCAGAGCTCAGGCAGCTGCTGCTTGTGGGGATCCTGCCTTTAGCCCACGTGGAACCCAAAGCCGGGCTGGGTGCCGAGGAGGAGCCCTGGCGTTTACATGGCACCCCCTTGCCTCCAGGGAGGGCTGAACAGCTCCTCCAGTCCCCCTCCCCACCCGCTTCGAGGACTGTGAGCCCTCGCTGCCCCCAGCACCCTTCACACTCCTCGGGGGCTGAGCCAGCCCCGCGCCCCCCTTACCTGCCCTCTGTCCCCTGCCCTGGTGTCCCTGGGGGTCCCCAGGACAGGTCTCCTGCATTCTGCTTCACTCCATCTCCTCTCGGATGCTCCCGGTTTGTCTCCGCAGCTCCGGGGCTGGCGAGGGGCTTTGTGCCTTCAGCTGTGGGGGCCGGTGCCCTCCCGGTCCCGCTGCGGCCGGGGCTCCTGCGGGGGTCCCGCCTCCTCCGCTGCTCCCCGTGTGCTGTTCCCGACCGCTCCCGGTTTATTTAAGGAATAAATGAAGGTTCACTCTGCTCCTTCGCCATCTCCGCGCGCCCACCGGGGCTGGGGGGAGCGGCGGGGCCGCTGCCGGTGCCGCCGCTCCCGGGGGTGGTGGGGATGGACTACAGCTCCCGTCGTGCCGCTCAGGGCCGGCCCCGGGGCGGGCGCGGCCGAGCAGCCGCCGGCCCGTGGGACCGTCCCCGCCGCTCCCGGCGCTCCGCCGCCCGCCTCGGGCTGCGCTCCCGGAGGGCGCGGCGGCGGCGATGCTCGCCCGCGGCTTTCCGCCGGCCCGGCGTGCCCGCCCGCCGCTCCCCGCGGCGCCGGGGCTGCGGGGCGCGGGCCGGACGGACCGCCGGTAGCCGCCCGCCCCTACCGGTACCGGCCCGGCAGCGGGACCCAGCCCTGCGCCCGCCGCCCGCGGAGGATGCTCCGCTCCGGACCGCGGCTCCCGCCTGCTGCCGCTGCCCCGGGGGCCGCGTCCCGGGCGGCGGCTCTCGGACCCCGCGGGGCGGGATGAGCTGCCGGCGGGGGCCCGGCGCTCCACCGACGGCCAGGGAGGAGGCGGCGGTCCCGGGGCCGCGCTGTGTGTCCGGCCGGCGGCTCTAGGCCGGTTCTGTTCTCCGCGGGGCTCCGCGTGGCCGTGGGCGCTGCCCGAGCCCCCCCGCCCGGGGCAGTGAAGAGCCGCCGTCAGCATCCTCCGGCAGGCCGAAAGGTGGAGCCCGGCCCGTTCCCGCAGAGCGGCTGCTCCCGCTCCCCGCGGTCCTGGCGCGGTGCCGCCGGCTGCCCCGGGGCTCCGGGGCCGGCCCCGCGCCGCCGCCGCCCGCCGGGGCCATGCCCTCCCCCACCGACTCCAGCCGCTCGCTGACCGGCCGCGGCTCCCGCAGCCTCACCCACCTCCGCCTCCGGCGCACCTGGCTGCAGGTCCTGCTGGCCCTGGGTCTCGTGCAAGCCGTCCTGGGCGTCCTCATCGTCACCTTCAGCCTGGTGGCGGCCACCATCACTCCCTCCACCAAGATCCGTCACTCCTGCCCGTCCTGGGCCGGCTTCTCGGTGAGTGCGGGGGCCGAGGGGGCTGCGCCGCTCCCCGGGGGCCGAGCTGGCCGCCGGTCCCCGGGGAGGGCAGCCCCGCTGCTCGCCCACCCTCTGCCCGTGGCTGCCGCGGTGCATTGTGGGAGTATCCCAAGGGCTCCCCCAGGGTGACTCGGTGAGGGATGGGGACCCCCAAGGGGTGCGGGGGGACTGTCCTGGGCACCCAGCCACGGGCGGGGAGGGGCGTGGGGGCACCACAGGGACAACAGGGCAGGGGCAGGGTGGCGACGGGGGCTCCGCTCTGTCTGCTGGGTATTGGGGTGTGGGCAGCACCCGGGGTCCCCCGTGGTGATCATACAGCACGGATCCTGGCCTGGGTTTGCTGCCCAGCCAGAGCAGGCCCTGAATCAGCAGTTCTCCCATCTTGTGGCGCCAGGGCTGCTCCTACAGCCCCACTGCTCCTGGGCTGGCTGCAGGCCTGCGGGGACCAGGGGGCTCTGCCCGTGGGCAGGGGCTGCTCGGGGTCCCGCAGCCTGGCAGAGCCTTCTCCCCGTGCTCACCCCGGGGCTTGTGCACCTGCAGCTGGCACTGTCCGGGCTGGTCGGCGTCATCTCCTGGAAGCGGCCGCTCACCCTGGTGGTAGGTGTTGGGGGGACGCCCTTCCGAGGCGGGGGAGACCAGGATGGGGAGGCCGAGGAACCCCCCCCCGTGCCCCCGGGGTGTGCAGCCCGCAGCCCCTCCTCTGCTCCTGCTGCAGATCGCTTTCTTCGCGCTGCTGTCGGTGCTGGGCGTCATGCTGAGCCTGGCCGGCTCCATCCTGTCGTGCCAGAACGCGCAGCTGGTGAAGACCCTGGAGGCCTGCGAGAGGGTGAGGCTGAGCGGAGACCCCCGGGCCTCCATGCACGGCTCCTCCCTGGCTGTGGGGGGCTCTGGGGACACGGGCAGCTGCGGAGCTGCGGTCGGGTATCTCTCAGGGGGATGGCATCCGGAGCTTCCTCGCAGTGTTTCTTGTCCCCAGGAGAGGGACACGTGTGTCTGCTGCCAGGCCCGCTCCGAGCCCCCGCCCGCCTCCTGCAGCCAGCAGAGCGAGATGCTGACCATGTTCCCCAACCCCAACTGCCGGAGCATCCGTGTGGCACTCAAGGTGGAGGAGCAGGGGGATGCAAGGGCTCCCTGGGAAGCGGCCGCACACCCGGCCACGCTCCGCGGGCTCTGCAGCTCACCCCACTGCTCCCCAGGATCTCCTCTTCAGTGTCTGTGGCTTGACCATCTTCTCCACCGTCATCTGCATGCTCTCTGCTGTCGTGTGCTGCATCCAGATCTTCTCCCTCGACATCGTCCATGTGGTGAGTGCCAGCTCTGGCCCAGCAGCAGGCAGGGCTGGGGAGCAGGGGTGGTGCCAGGGGTGCCAGGGCAGGACCCGGCCCCAGCTGGGTGCAGATGAAAGCCCGGGATGCACATCCCTTGCTGGATCTCTGGCCAGGAGGTCTCAGCTCTCCCTTCTCCCCTCCCTCTCCCCGCAGCTGGTCCCACAGCGCTCGAGCTCTGTGACGTTGGAATGCACGTCCCCACCTGACACCTTTCTGCAGAGCATGATGGACTTCGAGGAGTTTGTGCCTCCGGTGCCGCCACCCCCCTACTACCCACCTGAGTACACCTGCAGCTCCGAGACGGATGCGCAGAGGTACCAGCTGGGAGCCAGGCTGGCAGGGCAGGGGTGCCCAGGCTGGGCTCGTCCCACTCAGTGTGGCTTTTCTGCTCTTGCTTCTGCAGCATCACCTACAATGGCTCCATGGACAGCCCCGTGCCCCTCTACCCGACCGATTTCCCCCCATCGTACGAGACTGTGATGGGGCTGCGGGGGGACAGCCAGGTGGGGGCCGTGGGGCCGTGGGGAGGCCAGGCTGAGCAGGACGGGCTCGTGCTCAGCTGAGCCCTGAGCCTGCTGTCCCACAGGTCACCCTGTTCGACTCGCAGCTGACAGAGAGCTCCCACGCCTGCACCTGCGACCGCGTCCCCTCCATCGTGCTCAGCGGGGAAGGTGAGCGTTCCCCCCGGGGCACAGGGATGGCAGCGGGGGCCGTAGCAGCTCCTCAGTGGTGCCCGTCCTCTCCTTGCAGTCTCCATGGACAGCGGGTCCCTGATCATGTCCGAGATCATGGACATCCCCGGCGACAGCAGCCCCTCGGAGGACTCGTGCCTGCTGGAGCTGCAGGGCTCCATGCGCTCCGTCGATTACGTCCTGTTCCGCTCCATCCAGCGCAGCCGCGCCGATTACTGCCTGAGCGTGGACTGCGTGCAGTGCAGCCACCACGCTCGCAGCCCCACGCTGGCCTTGCAGGGCCCCTTCGAGGAGACGCCGCAGCCCCGCGCGCGGGGCGAGCGATCCTACTCCTGCTCCACGGCGGAGCCCGGCCCCGACGGCGTCTTGCTGGGGGGAGCCGTCACCCACAGCTGCAACAGGCTGGTGGGGCCGGCGCGCTGCGCCGGGCCCTGCTTCCCCGAGGTGCGCCTCAAGGACAAGGGCTCCACGCCGCAGCGGCGCGGGGGTGGCCGCCCCACGGCCACCGGCCACCCCCGGCGCAACAGCGAGACCTCCTGCCCCTCGTCCCCGGGGCTGGCCCCGCGCCCGCTGCTCAGGTCACACAGTGACCCCGGCGTGCCCACGCTTGGCCGTGCTGGTAGGTGACAATGACGTCTGGGATGGGAGCGTGGCAGCGAGTGTGGCAGCGGGGTTTGGCCGTGTTTTTCTGTGGCCAGGCGGGATTAGGGCCGCTCTGGGGAGCAGGGGAGGTCTGCTGGCCTGGGAGGTTGTGCTGCCCGGGGTGTGCACAGCCGCCCAGGCCTGAGGGCTCTCTCTGCTCCCAGCAGATTTCAGGGAAGTACTTTATACCAAAGCACTGGAGGACGCCGTGTCCGACTCCTCCGCTGATACAGGTCAGGGCACTGGGATGTGCTGGGATACAAAAGGGGCATGGGGGGGTGTCTGTAACCCTCTGGGGATTGAGCTCACCCTGTTGGGGCTGGAGCAATGGTGGGACTGCTCCTGCTGACTGGGCATGGGAGACAGCAGGACAACAGGCCTCTGAGGATGGGTCTGCTGGGAGCAGCATCCTGGGGTCTGACAGTGGGGACAGGTCCATCAGGGCAGTGTCCCAGGTCTGGTGGTGGGGATGGAGCCATCAGAGAAGTGTCCTGGTTCTGACAGTGGGGACAGGTCTATCAGGGCAGTGTCCCAGGTCTGGTGGTGGGGATGGAGCCATCAGAGAAGTGTCCTGGCTTTGACAGTGGAGACAGGTCCATCAGGGCAGTGTCCTGTGCCTGTCAGAGCAGTGTACCAGGTCTGATGGTGGGGATGGATCCATCAGGGCAGTGTCCTGACTCTGACAATGGGAACAGGGCTGTCAGAACAGTGTCCTGACTCTGACAGTGGGGAGAGGTTCATCAGGGCAGTGTCCCAGGTCTGATGATGAGGACAGGGCTGTCAGAGCAGTGTGCCAGGTCTGATGGTGGGGGTGGATCCATCAGAGCAGTGTCCTGGCTCTGACAATGGGGACAGGGCTGTCAGAGCAGTGTCCCAGGTCTAACAGTGGGGACAGGTCCATCAGGGCAGTGTCCTGTGCCTGTCAGAGCAGTGTCCTGGCTCTGACAATGGGGACAGGGCTGTCAGGGCAGTGTCCCAGGTCTGACAGCCCCACTCTGCAGGGCTGTGCTCCGAGGCCTGCCTGCTCCACCGTTCCCACTGTGACTCCCCGCCGCTGCTCCGGGCCGGCTCCGTGGGGAAGAACAAGCTGCCACCCTGCAAGAAGGTGCCACAGCAGCTGTCAAAGACAACCACCCGCTCCCTGGGGGACCTCAAGGGCTACCGAGGCACCCGTGGGCTGGTGGCCAGGTTCCTGCAGAGACCCAAGCGCAACCCGGCAGCTGGCACGGAGGTGTCTGGACACAGCTTCCACGGGCACAAACAGGTGGGTTCTGAAAGCTACAGGGGATGGGCAGCTCCTCCTTCCCAGAGAACCATCCACACTCACCCTCCCGTCTCTCCCCATCAACACCTCCACCTTTCCAGCCTTCCTTTGTTTCCGTGTCCCTGCTACACCCCTTTTGTCGGCACCCTGGCTGCAGGCAGAGCGTTCTTCCTGCAGCTCTGGCCTTGCCCAGCCCTTCCTGGGGGGCAGCTCCTTTTTCCTTGATCCCCACTGGAGCCACTGGAGGTGGGAAAACCGTGCCTGTTGCAATGGCTTTGGCTTTGCCCCTGAGTCACTGCACCTGGAAGCAGTTGCTGGGACGTCCCCACGACTCAGCTTTACGGGAGTCCTTGCGCAGCCCAGGGAGGCCTTGACGGGAACCAACCTGTCCCAAATGCCAGTGTGGGCGCATGATGCACGCCTCTGCCATCCCTGTCACCTCTGTCCTCCTGCCCCGTGTGCCACCTGGCCCCGCTGGAGCGTGGGGGGTCGAGCACAGGGGGGTGAATGCGGGAGGGTGTCACGGGCAGGGGTGTCATTGCAGGGGTGTCATTGCAGGGGTGTCATTGCAGGGGTGTTGTGGCAGGGGTGTCACGGGCAGAGGTGTCCAGGCAGGGGTGTCACGGGCAGGGGTGTCATTGCAGGGATGTCCAGGCAAGGGTGTCATGGGCAGGGGTGTCATTGTAGGGGTGTCATTGCAGGGGTGTCACAGGCTAGGGTGCCACGGGCAGGGGTGCCATTGCAGGGGTGCCACAGGCAGGGGTGTCATGGACAGAGGTGTCATTGCAGGGGTGTCACAAGCAGGGGTGCAATGGGCAGGGGTGTCATTGCAGGGGTGTCACGGGCTAGGGTGCCACGGGCAAGGGTGCCATTGCAGGGGTGCCACGGGCAGGGGTGTTATTTCAGGGGTGTCACAAGCAGGGGTGCCACGGGCAGGGTGCCACGGGCAGAACTGCCATCCCTGGTGGCTGCAGCCCATCCCCACGGCTTGCAGGTTCCCTGGAGTGCCTGGCCGGGCGCAGAGCGGCCCCACGAAGGAATCCACCTGCAGAGCTGCGGGGACCTGAGCTCCACCTCGTCCCTGCGGCGTCTCCTGTCCGCGCGGCGGCTGGAGCGCGGCCGCCCCCGGAGCCTCAGCGGGGCCTGCAAGGAGAGCGCGCTCTGAGGGCCCGGCCGTGCAGGGAGCCTCTGCTCTGGGCAGGGAATCCCACCCTGCCCTCAGCCCTGGACGTTGCTCGGACATTGCTGCCGCCCTGGTGGGGCTGCGCCCTGCGCTGCTGCCCCGGGGGTTCGGCTGAGCCCCTTCCCCAAGCAGGGCTGGGCTTCGGGGCTGGTCCCCTTGGGGGCCGGGCCAGCTGTGCCTGTGCCCTGCCTGGCTGGGATGGTTATGCCTGTTCCTTGCCCTGTTCCTTGTTCTGGACATGCCTGTCCCTTGCCATGTCCCTTGTGCCAGCTGTGCCTATTCCCTGGGATGGCCACGCCTGTCCCCTGCCCTGTCCTGTGTGGTGGCTGTGCCTGACCCACGCACTGGCCATACCCTGTCCCCCGTGCCAGCTGTGCCTGTGCTCTGGCATGGCCGTGTCCATCTCCTGTGCCCTGTGCCAGCCGTGCCTGTGCTCTGGCATGGCCGTGTCCATCCCCTGCGCCAGCTGTGCCAGCCGTGCCTGTCCCCTGCCCTGGCCATGCTGTCCTCTGCCCTGTCCCTTTGGCTGGCTGTGCTGGCTTGATCGCCCCTCCCTGTCCCCCGCCCTGTCCCCTCCTCTGGCCGTGCCTGTCTTCTGCCTTGTTCTTCTGGCTGGCCATACTGGCTTGATCCTCGGTCCCCTGCGCCAGCCGTGCCTGTCCTCCAGGACGACCACGCCTGTCCCTTGCTCTGTCCCCTGAGCTGTCCCACTCTGCCCGTCTCCTCTCCAGGCCCTCCGCCCCGCCCGGTGCCGGTCCCGGTGCCGGTCCCGGTGCCGGTCCCGGTGCCGGCCGTGCCTGTTCCTCCCCGCCCGGCTGCGCCCGGGCCGCGCTGCGGGGCCGGTCCCGCGGCCGCCGCCGCTCGCTAGAGACCGAATAAAGGTGGTCACCGCCGCCCACGGGGCCGGTGTCACGGGGCGGGCGGGGCCGAACGGGGCGGGGCGGGCGGTCAGCTGAGCGGTCACGGGGTGCCGGTTCCCGGTTTCCCGGTAGCGGCTTCGCGGGGCGGGGTGACCGGCGCCGTCGGGGCGTGGGGAGGCAGCGGGGACCGGGAGCAGGACCGGGACAGGCACCGGGAGCGATACCGGGACCGGGACCGCCTGCGCTTCTCGGGGGGAGGGGGCGGGGGAAGCGACCCCGGGGTTCCCCCGGTTCGCGGGGCCAGAACCGGCTCGGGGGAAGGGCGGGGGTCAGGCCCGCCCAGAGTCGGTGCCGTTCTGCACCGGGTGTGGGCGGGACGAGTTGCGGGGCGCCCTTAAAGGCAAAGCCGGCGGCGGGGCCGGTGCTGCCGGGCCGGCTCCGGGCGCACCGGGAGCGGCGGGGCCATGCGGGCTGTCGGTGCCCCGTGCTGGCGGCTGCTGCTGGCGCTGCTGGCCGTGCACCGGGCTGCAGGTGAGCGAGGGGGACCCGGGGGTACGCGGCGGGTGGAGGGGACGGGGCTCCCGGGGCGGGGAGGAGGAGGGAATACCTTTGGAGTCCGTGCTCAGGGATGCTCGGGAGTTCTCAGGGATGCTCGGGAGCTGTCAGGGATGCCCGGGAGCTGTCCGGGGGTCCGGAGGCAGCGCGGAGCTCGGTGCTCGGGAGGTTCCGGGGTGTGCAGCACGGGAGCAGTGGCATCACCTCCGGGGCAGGCAGGGACGCGTCCCTGAGGCTGCCCCCACCACCCTGCCGTGCCCCCCAGGCGCCCGGCCCTGCAGCCCCAAGTACTTCGGCTACGATGCCATGGTCTGCGTCTGCAACTCCACGTACTGCGACACGCTGGACCCGCTGGTCCTGCCGGCCCCCGGCTCCTTCGTCAAGTACGAGAGCAGCAAGGCCGGCAAGCGGCTGGAGCGGAGCGAGGGGAAGTTCCAGCGCAGACTCTGCCCCTCAGGTACTGCCACGGGTGGCAGGGATGGGGTGGACCCCGCAGCAACCCACCGTCATGCTGGGCTGCCCTCCCTGCAGATGTTGTCCTCACGCTGGACACGACGCAGCGCTTCCAGAGGGTGAAGGGTTTTGGTGGCTCCATCACCGACGCGGCCGCCATCAACATCTTATCCCTGCCCGAAAGAGCACAGGATCACCTGCTGCGCTCCTACTTCTCTGAGGAGGGTAGGGTGTCGGGGAGGGAGGTGGGATGGTGACGGGGGTTGTGGGTGCTGGCACATCTTGGACGCCTCGTGTCCCGCTGTGCTGGCAGGGCTGGAGTACAACCTCATCCGGCTCCCCATGGCCAGCTGCGACTTCTCCCTCCATGCCTACACCTACGACGATGTCCCCTACGACTTCGAGCTCGCCCACTTCAGCCTGCGGGACGAGGACACCAAGCTGAAGGCGAGCGGTGGGAAGGGAGCAGGGTGGGGTGGAGGGTGACGGGGGCTGAGCTGAGCGGGCCCCTCCACCTCCTCCTGCAGATCCCCCTCCTTCACCGAGCCTCGGCCATGAGCAAGCGGCCGCTGTCGCTGTATGCCAGCCCCTGGACCTCCCCGACGTGGCTGAAGACCAGCGAGTCCTACGTGGGGAAGGGGACGCTGAAGGGGCAGGCAGGGGACAAGTACCACAAGACCTGGGCCAACTACTTTGTACGGTGAGGAGCTGCTGGGGGACCGGGGCAACACCCGGGGGACTCTCAGTGGACTCCTCACGGCTCACCCCTTCCCCCAACGCCAGATTCCTGGATGAATACGCCAAGCACAATGTGACCTTCTGGGCGGTGACAGCGGAGAACGAGCCCACGGCTGGGCTGATCAACAACTACCCCTTCCAGTGCTTGGGTTTCACAGCTGAGCAGCAGCGGGACTTCATCGCTCGGGACCTGGGCCCGGCGCTGGCCAACAGCTCCCACCGCCACGTCCAGCTCATCATCCTGGATGACAACCGGCTCCACCTCCCGCACTGGGCCAGAGTGGTGAGGGTGGTGGGGGCGTGTGCCAGCGTGGTGACCCAGGACAGAGCCCCTGTCCTTGTGGGGGGCTTGGGTGCTCCGTCCTGAGGAGGGCTGGCAGTCAAGCCCATGGGATTGACTCTTCTCCCTGCCAGGTGCTGGAGGACGAGGGGGCAGCTCGCTACGTCCACGGCATCGGCATCCACTGGTACCTGGACTTCATCGGTCCCATCCAGGACACGGTGTTGCCCACTCATGAGCTCTTCCCTGATTACTTTATCCTGGCCACGGAGGCGTGCATTGGGGCCCATTTCTGGGAGCGGGATGTGATTCTGGGCTGCTGGGAGCGGGGGAACCAGTATAGCCACAGCATCCTGACGGTGAGGCCCCTGTGTGCCGGGCCCTGGGGAGGGTTGTTGGTGTCGGGCAGACATCTGAGCTGTCCTGCTGCAGAATCTGAACCACTATGTGGCCGGCTGGACTGACTGGAATCTGGCTCTGGATCTGGAGGGGGGCCCTAACTGGGTCAAGAACTACGTGGACAGCCCCATCATCGTGGACAGCAGTGAAGGCATCTTCTACAAACAGCCCATGTTCTACCACATGGGCCACTTCAGGTGGGTTGGAGCCCACAGCATGTGCTAATCTTCCTGGGCTCCAGCAGCAGCTTATCCTGAGAGATGCAAGGCAAACTTAGCTCAAGAGGAACTCTGCTAGGGTCTCACTTCCACCCTGAGCTTGCTTCCTGTTTGTCTGTTCAGTAAATTCATCCCTGAGGGCTCCCAGCGCGTGGGGCTCGTCGCCTCCAGAGAGTCCAAGAAGACAGCGCTGGAGTACACGGCTTTCCTGCGCCCCGACGGGGCTGTGGTTGTGGTGGTTCTGAACCGGTGGGTGATGCTGCCTGGCCCCCTGTGTGGGACCCCCGTGCTGCCAGCCCCGTGTGGGACCCCATCCTGCCAGCCCTCTGCGGGACCCCCGTGCTGCCAGCCCCATGTGGGACCCCATCCTGCCAGCCCCATGTGGGACCCCCGTCCTTTCAGACCTCTGCGGGACCCCCGTCCTTTCAGACCTCTGCGGGACCCCCATCCTGCCAGCCCCATGTGGGACCCCCGTGCTGCCAGCCCCATGTGGGACCCCATCCTGCCAGCCCCATGTGGGACCCCCGTGCTGCCAGCCCCATGTGGGACCCCATCCTGCCAGCCCCATGTAGGACCCCCATCCTGCCAGCCCTCTGTGGGACCCCCGTGCTGCCAGCCCCATGTGGCACCCCCATCCTGCCAGCTCCATGTGGGACCCCTGTCCTTTCAGACCTCTGTGGGACCCCCGTCCTGCCAGCCCCGTGTGGGACCCCCATCCTGCCAGTCCTCTGTGGGACCCCATCCTGTCAGCCCTCTATGAGACCCCCATCCTGCCAGCTCCATGTGGGACCCCCGTCCTGCAATGCCTCTGTGGGACCCCATCCTGTCAGCCCTCTGTGGGACCCCCGTCCTGCCAGTCCTGTGTGGGACCCCTTTCCCTTTAGCCCTGTGTGGGACCCCCATCCTGCCAGCCCTCTGTGAGACCCCCATGCTGCCAGTTCTGTGTGGGACCCCCATCCTGCCATCCCCATGCGTAACCCCACCCTGCCATCCCCCTGTGTGACCCCACCCTGCCATCCCCATGTGGGACCCCCATCCCTTTAGCCCTCTGTGTGACCCCATCCTGCCAGCTCTATGTGGGACCCCCATGACTTTCTGGGACCCCACCCTGCCACCCCTCTGTGTGACCCCCATCCCTTTGTGTGACCCCATCCTGACGTCCCCATGTGGGACCCCCATCCCCCTGTGTGACCCCCATCCCTTTCTGGGACCCCCACCCTGTGGGACCCCATCCCGCCGGGCCCTGTGCAGGTGCTGCAGGTCTGACCGCCATGCCGTCCCCCCGCAGGTCCCCACAGGACATCACCTTTGGGCTGGCGGACACCGTGGGCCTGGTGGCGGCCGTGGCTCCGGCCAACTCCATCCAGACCTACCTGTGGCAGCGGCCGTGACGGGGCCGGACGCAGCTGGGCCGGACGCGCAGCCCCCGCCGCCCGCGGGCTCGGGCCGGGGGAAGCGTCCCCGGGGCCGTGGCAGAGCCAGACCGGCCCGGCCGGGGATGCTGTGCGTGTGCAGGAGGGCCGGGGGCAGCGGTGCCCCTCAGGGTGGAGACCCCACCGGCTGTGGACGCTGTGTGCTGCTCTTCTGACATTAAACACGGGTGCTGCCTTGATGTCTGCGGCTGGAAGAGAAACCTCCGGGTGCCTCCCGCGCTCCTGGGCACCGTGGCTGGGTGCCACCCCGGCGTGGAGCCTGCTGGAGGCTGGCGAGCGGCGCGGAGCAGCCGGAGCATGCTGGAGCCCCTCTCCCTGCCCAGCCCTTGCCCTTCTGCCCACCTCAGCTGCCCTGGGGCTCACCCTGCTGAGAGATGCTCCAGGCATGCTCTGCTCCCAGTTCCAAGCGTGCAGTGCCTGGCTGGGGCTGAGCGGAGCCCCGGTTGTCATTGGGGATGGGTTTTAGGACCTAGCAAGCAGCTCAGGATTCACCCTGAGCGCGGATGCTCGGGGTGCTGCATCAGGAGCAGGGGCAAAGCGCTCGGACACCCACCCTCGATGGAAGGGCTGAGCAGGGATTGTGGCCAAACTTCAGCTTTTTGTGCTTTCCCTGCCAGCCCGGAGCCACCTGCAGCCTGGTGCCAGGCCAGGGGCTGTGTGGGTCCCGTCTCTCCCAGACCAAGGAGAGGTCAGGGCTGGAGGCAGGGCCAGCTCCAGGAGCTCAGGGTCCCAGCCAGCTGCTGCTGGGGTTTTCCTGGGTCAGGGAGGCTGGCCGGGCTGCAGCAGCCCCGCCTGGAGCCTGCTGTTCCCCGTGGGGACTGATCCGAGGGGTCCCCGCTGTGCTGAGCAGACGGGGGGTGCACCCACCACAGATCCGGGGTGCCTTGAGCGAGCGGGGGCAGGAGCGGGAGTGGGTGCCGAGTGTGGGCGCAAGCCAGGAAGGAGGGAGGGAGGCGGCAGGGTGTGAGAGCAGGAGATTAGGGCAGGGAGGTCCTAATTTCAGGGCGAGGAGGGCCGTGCAGGCGGGATGTGCCCAGGGGCGCTGTCAGGACTGACAGCCGCGATGCCGCGTGGGCTGAGCACAGCCCAGGCGTGGCCAGTGAGTGACAGTGGCACCCTGGCACACTGGCACGCCACGGGAGCCCAGGGATGCTGCGACCCCGCAGCTCCGGCAGAGCCCTGGGGAGAGCACCCTGCTCCTGCCCCGAGGCTGTTTGTGTTTGTCCACAAGAGGGAAATGTTTCTCCAGGATCACGAGTGCGGCGAGTCCCATCCCCAGCGCCCTGCTGCCGGCACCCCACTCGCGGCGCGGGGCTGCTCCCCCGCCTGGTTCTCGCTTACCTGGCGGTGCTCCGAGCTGCTGGCCGGATGCTGAAGGGCCCCGGTGGGACCCTGCGCTCGGCTCGGTGCTCAAGGACCGACTGGCTCCGGGATGAACGCAGCGGGGGCGAATCCTCCGACGTCGCTGGGCTTGGCTCTGCTCATTAATTCTTGTGCAAAGCCTTGGCTCGTGTGGGGCTGGCGGTGGCCGGGGGATTCTGGGGTCCCACCTAGAGCCGGTGATCGCCCTGAGGATTGTCCCCGCATGCTCTGGGCTGGGGTCCTGCTGTTGGGAAGGAGTTGCCGTGATGCCACGCTGTGAGGCTCTTTGGCATTGATGTTAGGAGAGTTGTGATCCCTGGAAAGGTGACTCAGCCCAGCTCCGTGTCCCTGTGTCCCCATCCACACCGGCCTGGCTTAGGGACAAAATTCACCCTCTGGCTCCTCTGATGGCTCCCTTGACCTCACTTCTTTGACCCCATCCTGGAAAGAACACACCCGAGCACTGCAAAGGGCGCTCACACGATGCCACCAGGCCCCTGCGACCCCCAGGAGCTCCCCCAATTTGGAGATTGGCTGCAAGAAGCGGCTCTGGGGGCTTGGTGGGGCTGCCTGGTATCTGCCGTGCCAGCAGCTCCGTGCGAGGCGTTGCCCGGCCCCTGGGTCTCACTTTTCCTGCTCAGCAGGGCGCTCTTATCAGCTGGTGTTGATAAGGCTGAGCTCCAGCAGCCTCCGCAGTGTTTTGCTTCCAGGAGCTGTGGGACCTGAGCCAGCCAGGGGACTGTGGTTGATGGAGGGCAGGAAGAACTGGAGCTTGGAATGGCAAAGGGTGAACGGGGGCATCCTGGATGGCTGGAAGCGAGCTCGAAGGTGGCTGATTGCCTTAGGAGCTATTAATCCCTCCCCAAAATTGGGGCTTATTAACTTGGGTGTAGCAGCCTGGTCACGCTTTAATCACACTTGGAGGTGGGAGATGCACGGTGCAGCGGGACAGGGGCAGGAGCTCCTTCCTGGGCACCTGTTTGCCCCGTGAGATGTAACCAGGGGCTCCCTGGCCCATCCACAGCTGCTGCAGGTGTCTCATGGCTCAGCTCCCAGCAGAGGTGTGGAACTGGGGCAGGGCCCCGTAGCAGGGCAGTGCTGGGGGTAGGAGGAACTTTGATGAATTGAAATTGCCCCAGAGCTGCATCTGATATGGCAGAAATGGAGAAAATTAGTCATGAAGCGCTGCTCCACCCATGGAGGGAAACTAACGGAGCAGTTTAACCCTGTAACCCTGTGCAGGGGAGCCCTGAGCTGGTGATCGATGCTCCAGGCAAGTGGAGCTGTGGCTGGGATGTGGCCACTCCCCATCCCCTGGGCCACCCCGGTGTGGAGACGCCGAGGATGTCCCCACAGTGAGGGGTACATGTCCACAGGAGTGGGGACATCCTGGCTGATGGGACCAGGTAGGGTCTGGGGTGCCCAGGTGAGCTGGCCCAGTTCAGCCCTGGCTTGCTGAGGCTGGAGGGTGGCTCCTGGAGGAGCAGGGAGTGGGCTTTGCTGAGCTGGGCTTTGCTCCTGGCGTGGTGTTGGGAGAGCAGGGTGCCCTTTGAGGGTCTGGCTGCTGTTGTTGACCAGCTGGAGTGTCGCCCTGCTTGCCCAGGAGCTGGGGCATTGCCTGCTTGCTGTCACTGTGCCACTGCTGCCACCTTCCCCAGCACGTGCTGAGCTGGGCAGAGCGATGCCAAAGGCTTGGGCAGGCAATGGTAACAGCCCCAGCTCCCTTGTGGCCACCCCTGCTGTGCCCTGAGCTGTGCAGCCACATTCACTGACCCTGCCTGGGTGCCCCGGACCCTCCTGCACGGCCCTGCGGCTCCTGGGGGACACTGGGGACAGCGGGGTGGCAGGCAGGGATGGGTGGGTGTCCTGTTGGAGGTGCCCAGCAGGACAGACAGTGCCAGGAGCCTGCTTGGCTCTGCTGGGCTCTCAGGGGCTCATCCAGGCCCTGCCCGACAAAATAAATGAATCAATTCTTCCTTCAGGGATAACACTGGGGTCTCACATCTGTCCCTGTGGCACCTCCCCGTGCTGCTTGGACTTTTCCCCCAGGCCCAGCTGCCAGCACCGTGTCCCTGTCCCTCCTCGGCACGGTGGCAGAGGGGACCCGGCGCTCCGAGGAGATGCGCGGCAGGTACGGGCCGGGAGGAGAGCAAGGAGGAGCTGTGGGGGTGGGAGAGGGTGTGCTGCGGATGGGAGGTCTCCGAGCAGCTCCCTGTAAAGGCGAGGAGGTGGGGAGGCTGCAGCTGCTGAGGAGGAGGAGGGCTGGCGGCAGCGCAGGTCGGGAGCAGCCGGGGTGAAGGCGGGTGTGGTGCGGGCTCCGGGCAGGGGTGGACCCTGCCCAAGCGAGATGAAGGTGGTTTTTGGGGGGATGGAGAAGGTGACAGGAGCTCCGTGGCGCTGAGGAGATGGGGCTGATCCCTCCATCCCCCTGCCGTGGCTGAGGGTGTCCCCGCCGCAGGTGCTGCTCCGCGGGAACTTCCAAATTTTGGGCAAGGCGGAAGGGCCATGTGGGCTGTCGGCATCGTGGGCTGGCTCCTGCTGCTGCTGCTGCTGCTGCCGGTGGCCCAGGTGACAGGTGAGCTCGGGGACGTCGCGGGGGTGGCAGCGGGGTTTGGGCACCCCGCGGCAAGGACAGCAGCGGAGCTGGGTGCCCGGGAGGTGCCGGGGTGCGGAGCACCGGAGCGATGGCATCACCCCGGGGCAGGCGGGGGAGCAGCCAGGGACACGTCCCTGAACCGGCAGCCACCCCCACCCTCCCTGCCGTGCCTCCCAGGTGCCCGACCCTGCATCCCCAAGGATTTTGGGCACGGCTCGGTGGTCTGTGTCTGTAACGCCACGTACTGCGACACGCTGGACCCGCTGGTCCTGCCGGCCCCCGGCTCCTACGCCAAGTACGAGAGCAGCAAGGCCGGCAAGCGGCTGGAGCGGAGCGAGGGGAAGTTCCAGCGCAGCCTGCGCAGCCCAGGTAGCCCCAGTGGTGGGTGGCAGTGCCACCGCGGTCCCCGGGCAGCAGGGACCGAGCCCGGCTCTTCCCGCAGGGCTGCTGCTGACGCTCGACATCTCCGCGCTGTACCAGCACATGAAGGGCTTCGGCGGCTCCCTCTCGGATGCCGCTGCCATGAACATCCTGAAGCTGTCCCAGCCAGCCCAGGACAACCTGCTGCGCTCCTACTTCTCCGAGAGCGGTGAGCAGTGAGAGCACGGCGCTGTGGGGGTCGCCAGAGGAGGCTGTGCCTGTCCCCGCTGCGGGGACATCGTCACCTGGACGCCCGCTCCGGTGCCGCTTGATGTTTTTCCTTCTCCTCAGGGATCGAGTACAACCTCATCCGGGTGCCCATGGCTTGCAGCGACTTCTCCGTGCGCCCCTACAGCTACGATGATGTCCCCAAGGACTACGAGCTGAAGCACTTCAGGCTGGTGGACGAGGACGTGAAGATGAAGGTGGGAGGCTGAAGCCGCCGCCATCGGCACCTTGTCCCCCTCTCGCACCGGAGCTCCTGCGTGTGCTGGGACCGCTGGGACCAGGTGCTGCTGAGCCCTGCACACCGTGGCAGGGTGCACGGGGACAGCCTGTGGGAGCTGGCACCTGCCCCGGGGCACGTCCTGGCGCATCCCAGCTGGCAGCGGCAGGGTGAGGAGCCAGGGCGCTGTGCCCTGTGCCGGTGGGGTGGTGCTTGCCAGCTGCCAGTCCTCGCTGAGGTGCCTGGAGTTCTCCCCTTCTTGCCGTGCTGGGCCTTCCCTGTGGTTTTGGGGGAGCTGCAGCTGGAGCTGAGCCTGTCCCTGTGTCCCCTCCCGCAGATTCCCCTCCTGCGCCGAGCTTTGGCCATGAGCAAGCGGC